AACCCCCCGGGGGGTCCTTTTTTTGGGTGTCCCCCCGCCCCCCCTGGTTCCTTTAGCTTCCGGGGCTTTTTCTTTTTTCCCACGCGGGGGGGGTTTTTCCAGTACAAGCTCCGCAAACAAAAGAAATCTTTTGGCTTGGCCCTTTTGAAACCCCCCGAAGGCCCACGAACGCCCACGCCCAAAGCGCCCAAAGGCGCTCATGACAAAGACCCGCCAAGGTGGTATTCCTTTTCACATGAGGTTACCTCATCTCCAGGGTTCCCGGCTGGTGGGGGCTGGACCATCACCCGTTATACCGACTTCTTTCGCACCGTCCCGCAGCCTCACCTGGCGTTAGTTCTCTTGAGGTTAGAGTTTTCCTTTCCTTTCCCATGTGCTCTGCCCTGGGACCATCACCAGGGGGTGTGTGGGAGGGGCGGATGGACGAGGTACACGCACCGCGGCGACCGGACCTGGGCCCTCGCCCCCCCCCCATGCCGCCATGCCGCCGGTCGAGGCGAGACGTTCAGCCCAAGGTCTCTGCCATACATGCCGTGGCGGGCTGGAACCCAATAATCTCGTCATGGAGCTGTACTTGTTCGAGACTGCTCGTTCGGACGGCCCATGGTGACTTCAGGTTCAGCCGGAAGGTGGTGAGGACCCGCTCCCACCGGAGACCACCATGTCGGCGAGCCCATCGAGGACGAGCTTGGACGAAGATGTGCTCATCATCGCCCAGATGGCTCGGACTTCATAAACCCCCTGATCTCGCCCCGTCCATAAGCTCCATCATCCTTGGAACATCATCAGACCAGCACAGACTACTACCATTCTACCACAACTACTACCATCTTACTTTATATCTGCTCGTTGAAACACACTTCCATCCCACCCTCTACACTTGTATCCCCAGTCTCCCGCGCAAAAGGTCTCCTCATCATCCCTGACCTTGACCACCTTGGACATAAGTCTTCTCTCACACCCACAACCAACACTACATACCACTTTTTTTCTTCACCCTACGTCTCCCGTACGAAGCCCTCACCAGCTTCCTACGCCCCTCTCCCTCCTCCACCCCCACCCTCTTGTTGTTTCTCACACAAACACACACATACACACACACACACACACCCACACACATTACATCACAATGGACAGCCGTCTTACTTCTGGTGCGGCCTCGCCCGTCTCCCTCTTCTCCAACAACAGCTCTGCCATCACAACACCCGAGCCCGACTCGGACAACGAGGGCTATGCCACGCTCGCGCCCAGCACCAACGCCAACAGGAAGTACATCCTCGTGCTCGGCGGGCTCGGCTTCATCGGTTCGCACACATCGCTCGAGCTCCTCAAGGCCGGCTACAGCGTCATCATTGTCGATGACCTGAGCAACAGCTTCCACGACGTGCTCAGCCGCGTCAGGACAGCGGCCGAGACGTGGTGCAAGGCCAACCGCAAGCCCATGGGCGAGATCCAGTTCCACAAGGTCGACTACCGCAGCAAGGCCATGCACTTCCTGCTCGAGTCGTACTCTGACCTCGTCACGGTGCCGTCGGAGACGGCGGGCGGCGCGCCGCGGCTCACGAGGCAGTCGCGCATCTCGGGCGTCATCCACTTTGCGGCGTTCAAGTCGGTCAGCGACTCGATCGCCAGCCCCATGGCCTACTACCGCAACAACGTGTGCGGGCTCGTGGACCTGCTGGAGCTCCTCGGCAAGCACAACATTTTCAACTTTGTCTTCTCGTCGTCGGCGACTGTGTACGGCACCAAGGCCGACGCCGGCAAGCCGCTGCGCGAGGAGGACCTCGTGCACCACGCGACGACGTACACGGACGCCGCGGGCCGGCAGCAGACGGCCATGCCGGACGTGTCGGGCCTGCAGTCGCCGTACGCGCGGTCCAAGTACTTTGGCGAGGCCATCCTCGCGGACCTCGCCTACTCGGACACGCGCTGGCGCATCATCGCGCTGCGCTACTTCAACCCCATCGGCTGCGACGCGTCGGGCCTCCTCGGCGAGGACCCCAAGGGCGTGCCGACGAACCTGTTCCCCGTCATCACGCAGGTGCTCACGGGCGACCGGCCGCAGCTCGACGTCTTCGGCACCGACTGGGCGACGCGCGACGGCACGGCGGTGCGCGACTTTATCCACGTCTCGGACCTCGCGCGCGGCCACATTGCCGCCCTCGCCGCCGGCGTCGACGCCCCCTTCCGCACCTTCAACCTCGGCACCGGCAACGTCACCACCGTCAGCGAGGCCGTCGCGAGCCTCGAAGCTGCTGTCGGCCGCGCCATCCACGCTCAGCCTGGCC